GGAGGCGGAGGTTGCGGTGAGCCGAGATCGCGCCATTGCACTCCAGCCTGGGTAACAAGAGCGAAACTCCGTCTCAAAAAAAAAAAAAAAAAATTAAAAAATAAACATTACTGGATGATACCTCAAAAATTAAATTTCTGTAAGTTAAAATTGTCTATAAATTTGGCAGAATTTAAAGGTAATTGACCAATTGGGAAAATACATGTGTAAAATATATGATAGAGACCGATTATCCCTAGCGTATAATAAAATATTTTTATAGTTTAAGAAGCAAAGTTAAATGCCCCTCATTAAAAATGGGCATAGATCATGTAAGACTCGAGATTCACTCAGGAAAACAAAAACTAATTTGGATATTAAGCAGAAGGGGTGTGATGCTGGAAGTGAATTCCATGGGTGTTGGAAGAGCTGAGCTTTAACAGGGCCCAGGAGCAGCTCAGAGATTTGCCGCAGCAGGAGCCACCACTGCCCCTGAGCAGGAGAAACTGGGCGGTGGGAGCTGGAGCCATGGCCGGCCTGCTGGGGCCACAGGGAAACCGGTCTGCGGCTCCAAGGAGAGAGGGGGGGAGAAAAGTAATTTCTTTGCTTATTTTCTCTTACATTATTCCCCCAGGCTCTTACCAGATGGCCCTGGGATAGTAAAGAATACAGAGAGAATTCACCACAGAAAACAATTAGGCTGTCAGTAAATGTATGAAAATATGTCCTGTCAGAGAAATACATATTGAAACAATGGGATGAATATTTCTTCTATGGAATTAGGCAAGGTATTAAAAAATGATAATACGTAGGCCAGGCATAGATAGTGGCTCATGCCTGTAACCCTAGCACATTGGGAGGTTGAGGTGGGCGGGTCACCTGAGGTCAGGAGTTTGAGACCAGCCCGGCCAACATGGTGAAACCCTGTCTCTACTAAAAATACAAAAATCAGCTGGGTGTGGTGGTGTGTACCTGCAGTCCCAGCTACTTGGGAGCCTGAGGCAGGAGAATTGCTTGAACCTGGAAGGTGGAGGTTGCAGTGAGCTGAGGTTGTGCCACTGTACTCCAGCCTGGGCAACAAGAGTGAAACTCTGTCTTTAAAAAAATATATATAATACTTAAGAACTGATGAGAATGTAGAGAACAAGCCTGCTTGAAACAAATTGGTACAACTTCTGCATAGGCAGTTTTTTATAAGGTATGAAATAGAGCTAGCAAATACGAAAAATGCTCCAGTGATCTGAGAAAAGTATCTTACAAAAGAATATGTATTGGGCTCCTACTTCCCTGATGGAATAGCTTGTATCAGAGAAATCCCCCAGCTAAAAACAAGTATAAAAGTTGGATTTAAAACAACAAAATAATCTCCAGCTGATTGAATACACCAGGAGCAACCAAGGCCCCTTGGGCCCTGAAGAGCAGAGGTCCTGGAGAGAAAGGGACACACGGCCATCTCTGCATTTGATGCTACTGTTTCCACTCGGGTTTGCATCTTTATTCCTCAAGACAATAGAGTGAAACAGAGATGGCCTAGAGCATGTGACATTTGCATAGGGTGGAGGAGATGAAAATGGAAGTTGGGGACTTTCCAGTGGGAGGATTTCTGATAAACAAAATATCACAGCACTTGGTCAAACCTCCTGCAGGTCTGTGCTCTAGGAAGCAGGGCAGACCTGGTGGAGTGTGAGAAGGAGGGGGGTGGGGTAGGAGGATGAGCAGGAAGCAGACCCAGTGGCTGAGGCACTGGATGTTGGGAGGATTGATCAGTCACCCATTCACTGTGCATTTATTGATCACTGGCTGTGTGGAGATAGCAGTAAAGAAAAGAAACAGAAATCTCCGCCCTTGAGAGTTTATATCCCAGTGAGGGGTCACAAACAATAAACGTCTTAAGGATTTGACCCCAGGCACACTAATGTTAGGGTGAAACGTTAGAAAGAAAAGGAGAAACGGCATAGGTGATTGAAAATGACCTGTTTGTGAGGCAAGAGGAAGCCATGTGTGTGGCGATTCAGGGCCTGTGGGCAGAGGGTGGTTGGCTGTGTCAGGTGCTGCCCATAGGTCAAGTCCTGGGGGAAGCACAGAGTTTGGCTGTGGCCTGGAGAAGAGCGTGGCCCGAGACCCTGACTGCTGTGTGTCTGACCATGGTACAGGTGGTGGGACGGCCAAGATGTCAGTTCCTGAAGTCAGGTGAATTGCTGCTTATGAACATTCCAGACATACACATGTGTCGCTGTATTTTATGTTAGCTCAGGTGTAGGCATGAGAGTGGTGACACATCAGGTTCAACACACACACACACACACACACACACGAGGCAGAGGCTCAATAAATGCACACACACACACAAGGCTGCTTACGAACATTCCAGACAAACACGTGTGTGACTGTACTTTGTGTTATCTCAGGCGTATGCATGAGGACGGTCACACATCAGGTTCAACGCACACATTCACGTGCACACACGAGGCAGATGGGGAACAGAATCACCAGACGCCAGGGTCATATGTCAGGTTCCCATGACTGTCTTCTACTCAGTTATTTTTAACAGCTATTAAATGTCTCAGACTCACACCCAGACACAAGTTTGGTCCCTGACAATAATGTGCATTTAACTCTCAGTTTCCTTCTGTTCCCCCACACTTTCCCACATATATTATTCAAGTTAACTTTTGTCTTGTTTCCAATTTATTTCAAAGGATGCGAAGTACAAAACTGCTTCGGCTTATTGACTTAGATTTTTCGTTTACTTTCTCTCTCTTGGATCTACCACCAGTAAATGAATATGACATGTATATCAGAAACTTTGGGAAAAAAAATACCAAGCAGGTGAGTATGAGATGTGTTAACTAAGTAATAAAATGCAAGCACAGTGCAATAGGATAACTTTGTGTCTTCCTGAATCTTGTTCTGGAATAGTAGAACTTGGGGATGGTATCTGAAGGATGCAAGCTTAAGGAAAACGGGAGCCCATCTTCACATGGAGCTAATTCACCTGAGAGGCCAGGCACAGGCAAAGCCAGAGGCACTCCAGAGCCTTCAGGTGCTCCTGCAGGTGATCTGTGCAGAACGGGGACAGAGTGGCTGTGGTCCTGACCCTGGAGTGAAGCTTTATGCTGTGCAAATGTTTTATTTATTTATTTAGAGACAGAGTCTCACTCTGCCACCCAGGCTGGAGTGTAGTTGAGTGATGGCGGCTCACTGTAACCTCCACCTCCCTGGTTCAAGTGATTCTCCTGCCTCAGCCTCCTGAGTAGCTGGGATTACAGGCATGAACCACCATGCCCAGGTAATTTTTGTATTTTTAGTAGAGTTGAGGTTTCACCTGACCAGTTGGCCAGGTTGGTCTTGAACCCTGACCTCAAGCGATCCACCCACCTTGGCCTCCGAACATGCTGGAATTACAGCTGTGAGCCACTGACCCCAGCTTATTTATTTATTTTTATTTTGTTTTTTTATTTGTATAAATTGAGGTGGTACAAGTACAGTTTTGTTACATGAATCTGTTGCATAGTGGCAAAGGTAAATGTTTAAAGTCCAGCAAAATTATCGGGCTTGGATTTGTTTCTTGGTTTCCATGTGAGTGTATAGCAGTCTTACTTGTCTGTTTAAAGTTCTTATAATTGAAGAATTTCAAAGTATGCATTACTTCTCAAGGTTTTTATAACCTGGACTCAATTTTTTTTTTTTTTTTTCGAGACTGAGCCTGCCTCTGTCACCAGGCTGGAGTCCAGTGGCGTGATCTCAGTTCACTGCAACCTCCGCCTCCTGGGTTTAAGTGATTCTCCTGCCTCAGCCTCCCGAGTAGCTGGGATTACAGGCACCACCACCATGCCCAGATAATTTTTGTATTTTTAGTAGAGATGGGGTTTCACCATGTTGGCCATGATGATCTTCATCTCTTGACCTTGTGATCCACCTGCCTCAGCCTCTCAAAGTCCTGGAATTACAAGTGTAAGCCACTGTGCCCGGCCTAAAAATTTTGAAATTTAATTAGAGATGAGGTACTAATTTATTTATTAGAGACACTCCTGGGCTGGAGTGTAGCAGATGTTGACAGGCATGATCACAGCACACTGCACCCTCAGCTTCCCCTGTAGCTGAGGCCACAGGCTTATATCACCATGCCTGGCTTTGGATTCTCTAATTCAGATTATCCCTGTTTGATTCTGGGACTCCTGTCTGTCATGAGTCCCTCAGGGTGGCAGGGACTTAGTGCCTTGGCATGTGGCATTCCTGCTCCTTGGCCTTATCCGCCTGTCCTTCAGCGTCCAAGGCCCATTCTCTGGGCGAGCTCTTCCTAGTGACTTACGCTGAATTCCTTCTCCTGTTCCAGAGTTTGTGCAATTTACTATTCCATGCAGTTTTGTACTTCCCTGTAGTATTTCCAGTCATTAATTCATTATGTGATAGTCTCACTTCACAACAAGGTTATAAAGCTTTTGAAGTCAGACATCATAACAGTTTTCTTATGTTCCTGATGCTGGGTACCATCAATCTTAACATTGTCTATTTGGTGCACTCAATAAATGATACCCTTTTAAAAGGAGAAAGGTCACAGGATGAAGCTGAAGAAACTGACGGTTTTTAAAAGTTTTAAATTAGGATCTTTCTCTGTTACCCAGGCTGGATGGAGTGCAGTAGCAGCATCATAGCTCACTGCAGCCTTGAACTCCTGGGACACTGACAATATTAATTCTGGGTTTGGCAGCTGATTCACTCTGACCTTAAATAGATTATCTTTGGTTGTTTTCCTTATCCCAAAGCTATTAGTAACAAAACTGTCTTTGTTGAAGCATGTACCTTTTGAAATAAAATAATTATATGTGGTTTTGTAAAACCAGCATGGGCTAAGAAAAAAGGATGTGTGTAGGCTAGGTAGTAGTATTTTCAGACTAAAGGGAAATGGTTTGATGAGACTTTTTGAACACACTTTTGAAAATTAGACCTTTATGTGTCTATATCAAATGTTTGAGCATAGGTACTCTTTGGTTGATTGTTCTTTATGCTGTGAAACTTATTTTTGACACAATGACTGTTATTATTAACTTATTTTAGTAATGACAAATTGCTCTGAAATTGAGACCCAATGTTAATTTTGGCGTATTTTTGTTTTTAAGGCATATGTTCAGTATAATGAAGATAATGTTGAAAGAGACATTCAAACTGAGGAAATCGAGACCAGGGAAGTGTGGACCCAGCATCCGGGAGAAAGTACTGTTGTGTCTGGAGGTAACATCTTGCTCTTGAGTGCTGACTGTTGACTATCTTTACATTCTTTTTTGTTTTATTTTTACTGTTCCCTTTCTGGTTCACTCTCATTTAGTCTTTCTCTTCTGTATGGTGGTTAGCATATGACAATACCAGTACCCAATTTTCTTTTAAAGAAACACTAACCACCAGCAATAGAGCTGCTGAACTTAGGGGGATGAAACTTGCCCTTGCGGCCCAGTCTGTGCGATTGCAGGGTGTATGACAGATTTTGTTCTGAGGAGAGTGAGAGAGTCCACATTCCCAACAGCCACTGTGTCTCTGGGCCTTCAGAGCACAGCATGCTCCAAACTTGGGGGCAGCCTATTCTCATAGCAAATTTTTATATTTTAAGCGCAGTTTGCTTAAAAATTTCCATCAATTTAGATTGAGGGTCCCTAGAATATATGGTTTCTGCTAAGTACTCTGGAGCCATTTACATGTTGAATACTTTACTGGTTTTTCTCAAGGAATTGCCTCTGTATGGCAGGGGTGTATATTATCCCCTTTTCTTAGATAAGCCATACCTTAAGAAAGTAATATACCCAAACTTAAGGCTTACATGATAATTGAATTGATTGCTTTGAATGTTTTTCTGAATAGATTTAAATAGGATTCAGTTTATAGACCTCCTATAAAATAATACCCGATTGTTTTTGGAAGCTATCAGTAAATCTAGCGTGAAGTTTTCTGCATTTTCCTTCTAGGACTCTTTATTTATTTATTTATTTAAATTATTTTTATTTACAGAAAACTCAACAGTGTACATTTATGCCTCTTTGAACTCTTAAGATGTGTAATGCATGACTATTTTAGAGTCAGCTTTGTTGATGTTATATAACCTACCGTTTTTAGGCAGTGAGAAAAGAGACCCCTCTGATGCTGTAGTTATGCCGAAGATCGATACCCCAAGGTTATGTAGCTTTCTGCGGGCGGCTTGTCAGGTATACTTGACCTATAATATGTTGTGTTGTCTGTAAGTGCTTAAAGTTTTTTACTACATAGAAATATAGGAGTTGCTGAGATCTTAAAGTCTTCGTAGCTTGGATAAATCAGAATCAGTTATTCATTTTCAGGTATTATTTTCTTACAAATTATAGTGGCACATTCATTAAGCCCTTGTGGGCAGAATGACACTGGGTAAATGTATATCACTAAAAGTACTATGTATGTATTTGGACTGTGAATTTTATTATTAATGTCTTACATTTTAAAACAACTATAGACTAAATAGCAGACATTAAGCTGACGAGGCAATCATAAATCTAGGGTATTTGAAAATAATAAACTTCTGATTTTATAAACTGAAAAATTTACATACAGAGAGAAGTGGAACAGTACTGTGAAGCTGTAGGTACTTGGGTGCTTCTCACCTCATGGTCTTGGGTCTCATCGGACCTCCCCCCAACCCCTGGCCTACCCCACCTCCTACCCCATTAGTTATTTTGAAACAGCTCTTAATCATTATAACTTTGCCTCCAAATACAGTTCATTATGAATCTCAAAAAGAGTATGTCTATAAGAATAATGAGTAGTTATTTAGAATGTAGTCAGATGTGAAGTTGGCAGTTGCATTTCCCCAGTTGTCTCGTAATTTTTGTATGTGAGCTCAGCACTTGAGTCTACTGCAGCACTGAGGGGTGGAACATTGTGCATGCAACCTCAACATGCTTGTTGGGATTAAGGATGAGTCTCAGACTCTAATCTCTGCATGTGGTGGTTATGTAGTCTCTGTGACGCAATTCTGTTGGAATCTGTGGTTTATGAAATATCTTTATGATTCCACAAGATTTGATTTGTATCAGATATTCCACCCCTCACTAAACACTCCCCACCTTCCACACTCCATCCTCCACCCCTCACTGAGCACTCCCCCCCTTCCACACTCCACCCTCCACCCCTCACTGAACACTCCCCCCTTGCACACTGCACCCTCCACTCTTCACTATACACTCCCTGCCTTCCACACTCCACCCTCCACCCCTCACTAAACACTCCCC